CATATATATATAAATTTATTTTCTAAATATCAAATCAATAAATGTTGTTTTCAGTTTTCATGCTTTGTTTCATGACCTGTTTTTTATGTCTGTCTACAACTGTATGATTTTTTTAAAATTTGCTTCTTAAATGTTCTAAATGAACTGCTACTAACTGACTAATTAACAAACTAACAATATTTATTGGTGCAGCTTTAAATAGTGTCTCTTCATGTCAACTTTGTATGTTTTTTCTTTGTTGTTTTTTTAAAGATTATTTTTATGGGCTTTTTGCCTTTATTGACAGTACAGAGAGTGAAATGGGGAGACAGAGAGAGAGTGGGGACTGACATGCAGCAAAGGGCCGTGAGCCAGATTCGAGCCCGCGGCTGCTGCAGCAAGGCAATGCCTCTGTACATGGGGCGCCAGCACTATCAACTACACTACCAACGCCCCTTGACTTTGTATGTTGACTGAGTTTACACATCCATCATTCTTTCTTAAGAAAAGGGCTTTTCTTGAGATGAGTGATGCTTTCAACTGCTTCAAGGTTTACTGAACAGGTTTGTCAAAAGGGGCCTCAATGTGTCATAGATCAGTTGTTCCCAACTGGTGGGTCGCGGGTCCATTCTGAATGGACTGCAAGTGACTCTGATACATGTCAAGTTTGTAAAAACACACTTTATTTTTAAGTAGAGTGAATTTCTGGCACAGAGGTTTTATTTTGAAGGGCTGTTTCCTGCTGTAGAGTGAGTGACTAACAGACAGCTACTTAAGAGAGACAGCAAACTAGCTCAACGACATGTCCAAACTCAAGTATGACTCTAAATAAAATAAACTGTGTGGACCTTGAATTAATGACTAAGGAGAAATCTGGACCCTGAGGCTGGACCAGCTGGGAACCACTGTCATAGGGGACTGTAATGAGTCACAGCTTTGCTCATGATGCCAAACAAAAGTAAGATTAGTGGTCTGGCAACACCTGGGACGAAGAAGTAGTGGCTTGAATAGAAACAAGTCCATGTCCATTTCCATAACCAGACCACACACAGTGATGATGAAATACAGGCTTGGTACCTGTCTAACACAGACACACAGAAACACCTACCGTCATAGGGAAACTGCATAAAACCAAAGGGATTGTTAAAATGTGAAAGCCGGTTCCACTCGCTCATGTTGATGTTGTCCTTGTGCAGAAACACACGTATGTTGGGCAGGAAAGCCTTTTTGAAGCTCTCGTCCTCAGAGTTTCGCAGAGACTCAGCGCATGTCTGAGAACATAGGACAAAATATGAAATTAAGAAATAATCTAAAAATCAAACATAGGGACTTTAATTTGCACCATGTTCATGGTAGTTTTAATGAAGGCCCCGTTCACAGCTGAAGAAACAGCACATTGAAGCCAAACAGGAAGCTCCAACAAAGAAAGTCTGATTAACAGCAGTAATAACTTTAAAGGAAAAATCAAACAGAAAATCCATGCAGGTCAAACCAGCTGAACATGTGGCTGTGCAGATTACCCACTCCCACAAAGGTAATGCATCTATTATTATTATACTGTCTTGTCTTGTCATAACATACTTACCCAGGGTCTGGGTGGAGCATCCTGGTTATAAACATCATCAAAATCCCACAGAGGAGCCTTCCTGAAGGATTTTTTGAAGAGGATGGGCATGGGAGTTTCAGCCACAGCAGCATGTGTAGAGCTTCTCATCTGATCCACTTTAAGCTTCGTTACCGGGTTTGTTTTTTCAGAATCAGCCGTTTTTGCCGCACGTGTCAAGTTAAACACAACAGATAGGGGAGTCGAGTTTCTTATTAAATCCCAGAAGTGAGACGTTTCTTCACTTCTGTTTGTCACTGAGAAAGCAGCCAAGCTGATGTGGAAGTTTGACCAAAAAAAAACAAAAAACAATTGGATGCAACAGTAGAATTAGCAAGACACACCTTTATGTGACTTAAATTAAAATACTGAACATGGAAATGTGCTGAAACATTTCTATGAAGACAATTTAACAGAATTAGCAACTAGAAAACATTACAGATAAGTTCCCATCTTTCCTCTAAGTCTTACACTTAAAAACAACTTACCTGATATTTCTTGAGTAATCTCCCCATGATAAAATAAAAACCACAATGAAAACTGAGCTCACGAGCAGCCAGAAAAAAAGCCTGGTCTTTGGGAGTGCCATTCCCGAGACTGAGACCTGGAGGCTTTGCTGTTCAGTCAACAGCTGACAAGTATTTGCTTTCCCTCGTGGAAAAGTTTAATGAAATATCTACACTATGTCACCACACTTTACTGGGCAGGGCCAAAGAGATATACAATAAAAGCAGAACTATGCTCCCACACCTTCACAGTGGTACAATATCTGGTTTATTACACAACAGAGGGGAGGTTTTGCACAACAGACTTCACAGGATTTGTACAGATTTAATGGTAAAATTGGATTTTAAAAAAAGTTATGTCATAAATAACCATAATATAAAACTAACAGAAACAACATTCATTTATGAATTATATTTACAGAGGGGTAACTAGAAAATCCTGTTCTGTGCTGGACGAGATCCAGCTGCTTTGGTTACTTCCTCATGTGTGGAAAAACAACAAACAAAAGCATATCATATTAAAACAAGGATGAGAGTGGCTGTTATGTAGACTGTACAGCTTGCGTTGAATACTGTGAACACGTTTATTGGTGTATTTGGTAGAAGTCCTTCAATAGCGCTCATGGGTTAAACGGAGTGCAATCAGGGGGTGGATCCCAAAAACACAAAGAGGAGCCTTAGATGGAGTAGAGTCTGAGCTGCTCCTCCATGTCTCCTTCTGACACATCACCAAAAGTCTCCTGGTTGTCTTTCAGCAGCTGGAAGATGGCGGCCACCTGCTCACGTTGCACCCTGGGAAAACAAATATATCAAAGAAATACTGAGAAGGGAAAGAACCAGAAAAATCCTCCACACTGATGATCATTTGTACAAACTTTATTAATTCGCCTAAAACAGCTCTTGAAATCTGAAAGCAAAACTGCTCCATTTTTAGTACATATGCATGGCCTCTTTCAAGGTAACACTGTTAAGCTTTTTCCTCATCAGTCAGAGTCACTGTAAGTACTTGTGTAATTGAGCAGTGATTCCCAAGTGGTGGGTCACAGGTCGATTCTTTTGTTGCTGTTTTTTAATCTTTATTTAATCAGGCAGTCTCATTGAGATCAAGATCTCTTTTTCAAGAGAGACCTGAGAACAAAGCAACATCCATAACAACAAAAACACATAGACACAAGCAGGAACAACACAACAAAGAATTAAAAAAAACAATCACATGAATCTTTAAGTACTCCATTAGGAACAAGATATTCAAGTTTGAGGGTCGATTGTAACTCGTTCCATTTAAAAGGTGCATTGTATCTGAAACCAGATCTACCAACATTTGTGCGCATGCAGGGGATATCTAAGGTTACTGGAACGTGTACTGTAGTTACTGGATTTGAAAGAGAGAAGAGATGTGAGTTAGTTTGGTAGCTTTAACAGTAGAGCTTTAAAAATAAATAACATGAGATGGATATTTCTTCTTGTCTGTAAGGAAGTCCATCCAACTGTTTGATACAGAGAACAATGATGAGTACGAAATGCGTCATTTGTGATAAACCCTAATGCACTGTGATACACAGGGTTTAACTGCTGAAGTGTTGATGGAGCAGCATGACAATACAGAATGTCACCATAGTCCAGAACAGACATGAAGGCGGACTGCACAATAGTTTTACGGCTGGAAGAAGAGAGACAGCCTTTAATTCTATACAGGAAGCCTAGTTTGATTTTTAATTTTTGAGTCAACTGTTGAATATGAGTCTTGAATGTTAGTCGATTGTCAAGTGTAATTCCGAGATATTTGTAGGACTCAACCTGAGTAATAATGGCTGCCATTTAAAGTTTTGATGGCAGGATATTCCAAGTCACTGGTGGAGGTAGAGAATACCGTGAACTTGGTCTTTTCTGCATTTAAATCTAGTCTGTGATTAATGAGTGTTTGTTGAAAATCATCAAAGGCAGACTGTAGATGGCTCAGAGCCTGGGCTGGAGTGGAGCCCGAAGCATATAAAACAGTATCATCAGCAAAAAAAATGGATGTTGAATATTGATTAGGAATAACCATATTATTTATGTATAACGTGAACAACAGTGGACCGAGGATAGACCCCTGTGGCAACCCGTTTCTGATGACTAGTTGGCTAGACTGGGTACCATCAGCGACCACAGTCTGAGTTCTCTCTGTGAGGTAAGAATGGAACCAATCAATTGTGGCTTCATCAAGACCTATGGACTGTAATTTATGGAGAAGGATTTTATGATCTACAGTATCAAAAGCTTTTGAGAGGTCAATGAAGAGGGCGGCACAAAACTGTTTATTATCCAAGGAGGAGACCATGTTATCGATAACTGAAGCTGCAGCTGTTATGGTGCTGTGACCTGGGCGAAAACCAGACTGTTGTGGCTGTAGTAGGTTGAGAGTGTCAATAAAGGTGTGTAGTTGAAAATTAAGTAATGATTCAAGAAGTTTCACTAAGAGAGGTAATTCAGATATTGGACAGTAGTTGTTAAGATCACAGACATCTCCACTTTTGTGTAATGGTAATACTGCGGCACTTTTCCATGAAGCTGGAATTCTGCCTGTTAAAAAGGTTTGATTAAAAATATGAGCTAGATGAGAGCAGATGAAGGGGGCACTTAGACGGAGGAGATAGGAGTCAAGATTGTCTGCACCAGTGTTTTTGTATGATTTTAACCTAAGGTGAGTTTTGTGTACATCTACACTACTGACCAGGTTAAAGGAAAATGTGCCCTCAGCAGAGGCTGAGGCATTGGGGACTTCCTCTGCTGGATGGACGTGGTAACTGTTTGTAGTGGGATGTGCAGATATATTAAATAAAAGGCCAGAGAAGAGGAAATGGTGATTAAAAGCTTCAACTATGGATGGTCTATCAGTAATATGACCAGATACTAGTTTGAATTGAGGTGGGAGGTGTGACTGTGAAGAATTCTTAAGTGAAGCTATGGTGTTCCAAAATTTGGTGGAGCTGTTCGCAGGCAGAGAGAGCTGATTTATAATAATTTTATTTGGATTTCCTGATCATGCTGATGTAGATGTTTCTTTGTTGTCTGAAGTGTAACCAGTCATCAGGGGTGCCACTGGATCGAGCCTTGGACCAGGCTTTGTCTCTGCTATGTATTACATCTGAGAGTTGTGGGGAAAACCAAGGACTGTATCTGTTTTTGATTCTATGTTTTTTGAAAGGGGCATGTCTGTCAGCTGTACGTTAAAGGATTGTGAAAAGATTTCCAGTGCCATAGAGGGATCAGTAATGGAGAAAATATTATTTATATCAGAGACCGGTAAATCGTTCTGAATGGACATTAAGTGACTCAAAAATCTGTCAGTCAAGTTTCTCTCACAGTTTACATTGATGTCTGTGGGAAAAAAAGGACGCTTCACACACATTTTCCCCCCGACAACACAGAAGACCTAATCAGCACAGTTTCAAGGTCACCCACAGTCAGTGTCAACAATTCAGTAAAACTTCCCCTTCTGTTTCTTAATTATGACGCTGAATAATGGCCAGAAGTGTTTTATGCAGAACATTATGATGTCACAGTAAAGTAGACCTTTGACCTTTTGGATATGAAATGTCATCACTTCATCCGATTAGACATGTGTGTAAAGTTTTGTCATAATTAGCATATGAATTCTTGAGTTATTTCCAAAAAACATGATTTGTAAGGTCACACTGACCCTGCCCTTCAACCACAAAATTCTAATCACTTTACTTTTTGGTCCATTCTTAAGATATCGTGTTCACGAGAATGAGACAAATGCAAGGTCACAGTGACCTTGACCTTTGACCACCAAAATCTAATCAGTTCATCGTTGAGTACAAGTGAACATTTGTGCCAAATTTGAAGAAATGTCCTCAAGCCATTCTTGAGATATCATGTTCACGAGAATGAGATAGACGCAAGGTCACAGTGACCTTGACCTTTGACCACCAAAATCTTATCCGTTCATCGTTGGGTACAAGTGAACATTTGTGCCAAATATGAAAAAATGTCCTCAAGCCGTTCTTGAGAGATCACATTCACGAGAATGAGACGCATGCAAGGTCACAGCGACCTTGACCTTTGCCCACCAAAATCTTATCAGTTCATCCTCGAACCAAAGTGAATTTTTGTGCCATATTTAAAGAAATTCCCTTAAGGTGTTCATGAGATATCACATTCATGAGAATGAGACAAATTCAAGGTCACAGTGACCTTGATCTTTGACCACCAAAATCTAATCAGTACATTGTTGGATACAAGTGAACATTTGTGCCAAATTTGAGGAAATTCCCTCAAGCTCTTCTTGAGATATTATCTTCATGAGAATGAGATAGACGCAAGGTCACAGTAACCTTTGACCTTCGACCACCAAATTCTAATCAGTTCATCATTGAGCCCAAGTGGACGTGTGTGCCAAATCTGAAGAAATCCCCTAAAGGTGTTCTTGAGATATCCCATTCAGGAGAAGACAGACAGGCTGACAACTGGATATATAATGCCTCTGGCCACGGCTTTCGCCAGCGCGGAGGCATAAGGTATAGTTCTTATATTGTGTTATTTACTAGGAATGACATCCATTATAGCCAACAGCAAGTAGGCTTTCAAGTAATCTATTTTTAAAGACAGTGACTGTATACAGAATACCACCTATTTAAAATGTAACTGTTACAGTTACTCATATTTTGTATTTTAAACACATAATTTAGTAACTTGTAGTCCATTAATACCTGTATATTATATGCCATATATTAGACTATATGACGTTAATTGTTGTTAATTGTTAAATTGTTTGTTTGTTTGTTGTTGTATTGCATTACATCATCCTGAGACCCTGTGTCCTCATATGTGGACATCACATTTTGGGTTTACTGGACCTATTACTTCATTCTACTTAACTCAGACCTGTTGTCCTCGTTCGTGAACCCTTCTTTGTGCCATCTAGTGGTAGTCAGAGCACAATACACTAATCCATGTAGAAACAAGATGGCAGCCATCTCTGCCAAGTCAGTCTGCAGCTGGTCCCGACACAAAAGTGGACAAAACCTGAAACTTGTTTATTTATGATTAATAATGTTTTGTAGTTTGATATGGCAACAAATTTGCCCAATTTTAGCAACAGTAACAAGATGAGACGCTGTTAATGAGGAAGTACTCGTTTGAGGACATTAGGACTTTATTGTTGTTGGCTATGTTTAGTTTTTTATACTCATCAGGTCCTACTGATCCCAAAAGCTAGGAGAAATAAAAAATGCAAACCAAACAAAGTCCTGGTCTCAGGAGGATATACCATGTTATGCTTCTAGTAGATTTCCATATTAATACGGACAAACACTGAGGACTTAATAATATTACAACTACAATATATAATCAATCATGATATATATATATACACTGTTTTCATACGGCACACTGCTGCTATTAATCACACCACAGTAACTTTTGCCTTGTAATTTTGTCTTGAATTGTTCTTCTATAGTTTATACTTTTACTTTTTTCATGACTCTTATTATTTAGTACTTACTTGTCCTATTTATTTCTGTCTTGTGCTGCTGCAACAACCAAAGCCCCATCCTGAGGATGAATCTAGGCTTATCTTACCTCAAAGTTAATCATTCACACATGTGCAGAAAAACAACACACCGTGACAGATGCCACATGAAATGCTGACCAACACGATCTTTATGACCAGCAATAATCTGATATGAGTGAATGATACGGCTCCTTTATCAGTGCTGTAATTGTCAGTGGTCTGACATGAATATAACCCTGGCTGTTTGCCCTCCTGACATCAAATTTTACAAGAT